AGTGTCATCTGCAAAAAGTGTGGGTCCTTGAGCTAATTGCGTATGCATTTGGTAGCGTATTTATGCTATAGGAGAAAAGAAGAGGGCCAAGGACACTTCCCTCGTGGGACACCCAACTGTAACTGTTGAGCGGAAAGAGCTTGCCCCTATTTGCGTTCACATATTCGGCTTCTGTTGCTGACGGTATGAGCTAGATGTTCTAGTTTGATCGGGCCAGTGCCCTCTAATACCATTGTGTGACAATTTTACGTGGAGCAAAAGGTCCATGGTCAACTGTATCAAAAGCTTTACGTAGGCTCAACATGAAGATCCCCCAGTGGGGATCTTCTTTTTTCTCTATTGCAGCTGTATATATGTGCTAGCATGTGTATAATAGCAACATTAGTTATTTTTTATTAGGCCTGAATCCAAATTGGCAGAGGTTGAGAATGGATTTGGGAGATGTAGGTGACACGGTCGAGAGTAGATTTCGTTTATGATTAATTTTTCGAAGATTTTATTTTTGAGAGAGGGCTTGTAAATTGGAATTTGGACATATTGTTATTGCAACTCTGATGGTCTCCTCTTTATGGATCGGGGTGTACCCCTTGCTATTTTGAGAGCTGTAGGGGAAGGTGAGACAGGGACCCGAGGATTCAATGGCATTTGTTCAAAGGAGTGTTGCAATGATAGGTGGACTCAGTACTTGTGACCACTTTTTTGCTAGATAAAGGGTGGTAACGGTTTTAAATATCATGCCTTGTTTTTTAGTGCGTTGATAAAAGGGAAAGACTTGTATGGGTTAGTCGGAGCTTAAGAACGTGTGTTCGGCGTAGTTGCCTGTGAGGTAGTCATTTGGTGGGTGGTATCTGAGATTGGGATTTTATTGGCAAGGTTTTGTCCTATTGTGGAGAAGAACATCATTGAGTCTGTATGCTAGTTTCTGTTGGGGGGAGTTGGGGTTCATCTGACTTTTGCTAATCTTTTATTTCGCTCCTATCCTTCGGATATCTTCGTTTGTTCCCCTCAGAATTTCTGATTGGGGGTCATTCAGGTCTTTTTTATATCACCTCGTTAGTTGGATAATCTGTCTCCTATACAGTTTTTTTGCCACCTTTCTTATCAGGCCCTGGTTGGTGATGAGAGTAACGTCTTTGTTTGGCGACTCTGGTTTATGTCGACAACCATTCATTCTGTACTGTTTTCATATCGGTGTTTTCGTATTTATGGATTTGAGAAGTGGGGGTGAGCCAGGGATGTTCACGTCTCATTAGCTGCTCATTGTTATTAGTTTCTTTTAGGGCCAGTGCACTTGATATAGAGCGTATGGGGTCTTTTCCTTAGAAATTATTAAAACATTGTCATTAGCGCTGTATTAGATTTTCTAGCTCAGTGTGCCAGTCACTATGTTTGTTAATGCTGAGTCTAGTTGTGCTCAGCTTTTATGGCTTGCCTCCATTGTGAAAGTCTGAAGGTGACTTTACGTAGTGGTCTTTCGGGTATCCTTTACCCAAGAGCTTGTTCATGAGGAAAGTAGGGTAGTGCCGTGGTCTGTAGGTATTATCTGTAAATTGGCCCTGATTTTTAAAGCGGAGATTTGGTGTTGAGTCCTAGATGATGGTAAGTAGGGAAAACATCACTAGTCTCGTAAATTCTCTGTTGGTTATGTTTAATGTTGGTGAGCAACACTGAGTTACCTCACATTGTGTTTGTGAACTTCAGTTACACGTGTGGCGGTCATGGTATTGCAGGAGATTTTACTGCTAAGTACACCATACGAGAAGTAGTAAGTGATCTTTGCTTCATGCGCTGAATCAGTTAAGTCATACTTACTAGGTTTGACTAAATTGGCTTAATGTTTGATTGTGGCCATACTTGTAGATGTTTATCACTGTGAGAGGCTTTTTGTAGGTATTTGGATTTGATTATTTAGCTCATTATATATTCCCCTTGTTCACCCTTGCGCAAAAAATTAGTGATACATTTCTAGTTGGTTCTGACGTCCCTGTATATTAGCTGTGCCACCCCTTTGTTGGTCTCGGCCCTACCAGTTGGTTGGCTCCTGTGTAACCTGGAATGGCATAGCATCTGTAGTATTCAGCTTTAGCCACGGTTTCAGTTAGTGTAATGATGGACATATTGGCATGCAAGGAATTTAGTAATGCTTAGCCGAGGTCATCGTAATGCTTGTTAAAGATCTGATATTGTAGGTTTAAAGATAGTTATGTTGTTGTTGGCTTCGCTCGATGCTGCCACTCTCTGATTGTCTCTGCACTCCGTGTATTACATTATCAGTACTGTTCGAAGATTTTAAGTCATTTTTCAGAGAGGTTGGTTTCAGGGATCAATTGCTTGTAATTTAGAAGCGCTGTCCCCTGTGTTAGATTTGCGTAGCTGTGGATCATTAAGCGTATTACGCTTGGTTTTCATTGTCATTTATAGTGGAAGGTCTATGTTTTCTTTTCCTTACCACTTGCATTGCGAGGAACAGTCTCAAATAGTGACGCACCTAAAAATCCGTCATTAAATTTTTGTCGCTGCCACACTATGGGCTAGTAATTCTCTATACCATTGATAAAAGTGGCTAATAAGTTATTCTGTGTTCTGGTTCGAGATAAGTTTCCTCCTTTTGTAATTTAGCTTCTGATTGTGGAGATGTGATCACAAGATTGACAGTTGTGAGCCTTGGGAAGTGATAGATAGACCAGATCATCAACTTGGTGGCCTGGTGGCTAAAGCCTCCACGCTTCACACAGGACGGGCCCGGTTCGATTCACGGCGGGTCGGACACATTCGACACGTTTCATTACACCTGTTGTCCTGTTCACCTAAGCAGCAAATAGGTACCTGGGTGTTAGTCGAATGGTTGTGGGTCGCTTACTAGGGGGACAACGATTAAGGACCCCAATGGTAAATAAGTTAGACAGTCCTCGATGATCGTCTCGTCTTTCTTGGGTTATCCTGGTGGCTAACCCTCCGGTCGGTTTAAAAATCGAAACGAAATCTTATCATAACTATGTCAGAGTCATTGCATCGTATATGATGTACCCTAAATCCATAGGCACAGATTCAGTATGCCACCTTATATGTGAGTACGCTCAGTAGTCTTTCCTGTGAGTTTACATGGAGAGTAGTTCCACGGGGGTCAACGCCCCGCGGCCCGGTATGTGCACCATAGGCTCCTGGTGGATCAGACGCACTGATCAACCAGGCTGTTGCTGCTGGCTGGCACGCCAACCACCAGAGTACGAGCCCACAGACCCCGGCCTGAATCAGGAATTGATACGCGCTTCTAGGTGCTTGTCACACAGTTGCCTGCTTGAAGCCGCTGCCAGGGGCTCTGTGGTAATCCCCTTATCGTGTGCAGGGAGGCAGTTGAACAGTCTTCGGCCCTGACCATTATTGTTATGATTCTCTTAACGTGCTGTCGACCACCCTGCTTTTCTTTGGGGGGATGGATGCAATCGTCTTAATCAGCCAAGGTCTTTGCTTTCGTAGTGAGTGCATTTTTCGTGTGCACAAGTCGTAATAGTCACCTCTAGGTTTTTCCAGGTGTATATAATCCATGTATCTCTCCTCCTGCGTTCAGGCGAATACAGGTTTTAGGACCTCCAAGCGCTCCCAGTCATTTGAGATGTTTTATCTCCAGTATGCCGCGCCCGTGAAAGTTCTCTGTACATTTTTAGGTCACGCAATTTCTCCTGCCTTGAAAGTGCAGTTAGTGTGCAGCAATTTTCCAGCCTAGATAGAACAAGCTGACCTGAAGAGTGTACATATGGGCTTCATTGGCCTCCCACTAGTTTTGAGGTTTCTCATTATCCATCCTGTCATTTTTCTAGAGATGCGTATTCCGATACATTGTTATGGTCCTTCTGAAGGCTGAGTTCCTCTGACATAATCTCTCCCAGGTCTTTGAACGTTGTTGTTTCGCTCTTCTTTTGTCGGCCCACCGAATTTGTTTGTAATCTGATGAAGATTTTATTCACTTATGTTTACCCGTTACCTATTGAGTAATTGAAATTTCTCATCGTTGACACATTCATTATTGCTTTTCTTGCCTAGCCCACTGAAAGGATTTGGTTGATGTTCGCCTGGTGCCTTGCAGGTCCTGCAAATGGAAGACCACCTGTAATGCAGATTGGGTGTCATCTGCAAGGATGAACGGTGCTGTGGCTGTAATCTTGTCTATGTTCGGATAGAGGATGATGGAAACAAGATGGAGCCAGTTACTGTGCCTTGTGGAACAAGAGGCTTTTCACCGTAGTCTGCTCTCGGAATTTATCTGTTGACAATGACTCTGTGTTCTGTTAGTCGCAGGAAAAGCTATTAGATCCATCGACCGACTTTTTGCCTGTGATCTCCTTTAGCCGATTTTGTAGCGCTTTATTACGCCATGGCTCACATTGTCGAAGGTTTGCAAAGTGTTGTATATATTATATCTGCATTTCTTTTCTGTCTTCTTAGTGCCATCTTAGGACCCTCTGTCGTAGTGATCCAAAAATTTTTAGGGTTGAGACAGACAGGAGCGGACCTGTCTCTTAAACTATGTTACCTGGGTTGTGTAACTGATGGGTTTCTAGATGGGTGGTGCATCTTGCTTCTTAGGACCCTTTCAAAGATTTTGCACTGAATGGCCGCATGTTAGTGCTATTGGTCACACCACATTCCCTCGAACATTATCATGCTCATTTAGACAATTTCCACATAGATTCTAGTTCCATTTGAGTGTTTGTTATAGACCAAAACACATATCTTACTATCTGGCATTAAAATCTCCAAGAAATGTGGGTAGGTTCACTATTGATAACACCGATTCTGGTAAAGTACGTCTCGAAGCTGGTTCGCTGGGCGCATAGGCCATTAAATATGCTTTATGGAAACTAATCGCCCTGCATATACTCTGACACCATGATACTGCATGTTAAACTCGACCTCTGCAAGGAAAGGATGTGAATGTGGCAAGTTCTTTCTGACATCATCACTACAACAGCTTGGTTGACCTTAAGTTATAAGATGCATTATCAAGGCAAGTGTGGTGGAGGTGCTCCATCTTTCAGTCTACATTCCTGCAAACAAATGACATCATTATTATTGGTCTGCACTATATGGACGTAAGGCAGACAACCCACTTCCTGTTGGAAGACCTAATGTTCAACTGAAAAGATTGGTAACTGTATCCCACTTGTTGTGACGCTTATTACAATTTCTGCTCGAAGATGGTTAGGACCATTATGCTTTGGGCTACAGTCTTGGCAGACACTTAAGAGCAAATAGCATAGTTTGCTACGTCCTATCTTCAGGCCTATTCTCATTAAGCATTTTCGGCATCTTGGCAGCTAGATCAAGGCAACCTTTGCATAGCCAAGACTACACGGGGCCTTCTTTCTTACAAAATTGCTTGACAACTGAACGGAAGATCGTGACTGCACTTTTGACATTCCATCACCGTACTCATAGAGCCTTCATCCTGGCCTACACTACTATTTATTTTTTTTTTATTTTTATTAAAAACAACATCACATGATACCAGCCGACAATTAGCAAATCCAAAACCGTGTACAGACAATGTCACACGTACACCACAACTAAACCCAAAAAAAAACCATTTTAACATATTGGGAAATATAACCGAATTCCTACCGTAAGAAACCCAACCCGTGTTTACGGAAAAATAAAAAAAAAAAATAAAACAAAAAAAAAAAAAAAAAAAAACATACCGACCAACGAAACAGAAACGTCGGAGTCATAAAAACAAGTAGGAATAAGTCCTATAATCATGTTTTCTATATGTATATACATACACATGCACATATACCCTCCTCCACTCGCCCCTCCTCTTGTATGTGCACATATGTTCTTCCAGCACAGATCTAGAGATTATACTAGAACCAGAATAACAAACAACAACAAACCAAAAAAGACTTATCACTAAAAAAAAAAACTAGACAAATAAATACATAAATCCAAAACAGAAGTGCGACAGACACATGTAGGTACTCAAAAAAAACATTGTGTTTCTGTAACACATTGATATAAACAAAATTTACTAAAATAATACCCCAACCAACCGAACTTCACAAAACAAACAAGTCGGAGTCATTATAAAACATGTAGGAATGACGTCCTACACAAAACCATATTATATATATATATATTATATATAGATATATATATATATTTATACTTTATTATCACTATATACTATATATATTTTATTATATCATGTATACATATACGCATGCATATACCACACATCGTGTCATGTGCAATCAGGTGTTCGTACAGAACAACACTGGCGCATCATACATAGAATAAAGCATATAAATGACTTCCTTCACCAAATAAACTAAAAAAAATATTACATCCAATGATAAGAACTATACCTAAGACATTGGTTCCCACAAAACACACCTACACACACACAAAATAATGTTACGATTAACACTCAATATATTATATGTCCTTCCAGTTCAATATGAAAGCGCGTGATATATAAACCCTTCAAAAACTTTTCATTTTTTGGTTACATAGGTCATTTTGTACCCATTCAATACGATAAAAAGAGATACATATGACAAGGATTAATCTAACATCAGATTGAATGTTATTAATAACATATACCACAATATACATTTAAATCTTAAACCCCCTATATAAAATGGTTCTTCTATAAACAATAAGAGAAAAAACAGAAAAATCACATACTACTTTTGATCTGTGATTTTACAAATTGCATAAAGGTCTACATCCCCGGAGCCCCCGAACGGCTCCCTGCAAAAAAAAAAAAAACTTTACCCCAATCTACCACCTTGCAAAACAAATCAACTTCATCATCAGCTTCCAAACTCACTCAACGAGGACACACCACTGCAAGAGCACCACAACCTTGCTCATCCTCACCCGCTCAACCTAACGGAGTGTCGTTAACAGTTAAGCTCACGATAATTCCCTCCGGAAAACTAATTACCACATTTCCCCATATAAATTGTTTGTTCCACTTGCTGTCCTATAAAAACACGCGACCAACGCTGTCTATCACACTATAATGTTTCCCTCTCACCTCCCTCATTTCCCCCAAGAAACATGCCATGTAATCAACTTATTAGTATATGTAGCCCTCCCACACCATCTTTGGGTACCCTTCCCAATATCTAACATTTAAAGCCCTGAGGAGTTGGAGATCTGTCCCCCATTACTACTCAATGTGTGGTAAAAGAAAAACCCTCTTCAACCACAATCTTACACCTCCAATGCAGCGAACAAAAATATCACTACATGAAAGCAGTCCTTAAACTTTCCCCCAAAAAAACCGCCATGATGCCTCTCCTCACAAAACCATTCGTTTACGCACTTCTCTTCGATGCATAAAGTCCCAATATAGAAAAACTATAAACTAATTCCCTCGCTCTTGCCGGCTTTTCTTAATTTACTAATTCCACCCATATTCACTCATCCAATAATTTGTCGCGGATTCACTGCAATCAAACATGCCCCGGCATTTGTTTCATGGGACGACGACCCAACACACCCACTAACCGTTTCCTACTCTTGAGTTTTGTCTAACATTGCGTACCTTTAACATAAACTGCAACATATCTTCACACTCCACTAAGTCCCTGCCACCCCACATTTGCGGATATCCCCCATCACCTCCCCACCGCAAGAACCACCTTTCCCACGTGCCCGAATATACCTCTGCCTTACACCATATAGCGCCCTTCACCCAGAACCTAATGCCATCAATCCTATCATCACCTGTCTTACGCAGCACTTACCACATCTTTACCCAACCACGCATCCCCAAATAACCCACACATACTTAGGCTCTTCTTTGTAATTCACCTAATATCCTGACCTTCTCTAAGTGGTGTAAATTTCCGCACTCACCCACAACTTACTATATCATCAGGTACCCCGTTACCACCACAACCCTTTGATGCAAGGCTTTACATCCCCGCGACCTTAGACTCCCTGAGGCCTACTCAAAGCTCTGTCCAATACCATTTGCTGGAAATTAACTCATGACTATGATGTCCATCTGCTAAATACAAAAAATCACCATACAAATCTTTAGCCTATCTACAGTTATTCCAGCCAAACATCCCTCCCAGGTCCCTCCTACCCATACTACTCCTTGCCTACCTCCATACAACGTGATTTCTGTTAATTTATACACTCCTATCCCAGTAGCCATTCACCAAAAATCTCAATTACCCTTCCACTTTACTTAAATCTTCTATCTCATTAAATAAATCAGTTGTATCCTCTACCATAACCAACAATATTCCCACAAAATCCACCTCTCCTCCCCCATCCTTCCCATCCCCACCATCAACCAGCACATGAAAGGCATTTGCATACATGCACAAGCAGTGATTTGGGAGACGTGGACACCCAAGCCTTAAACCCCCCACTCCCACACATGCCTTACCCTGACACTACCCAACCCTACATTTTCCTGTACTCTCATCGATGCATTGTCTCATACAAATGTCTCACCCATCCAAAACCCTCACTCCTAAACCCATTCTCACCGTCATACTCTACAACAAAAAGCTCCCTATCCACCATAATCATATAAGCATTCTCCAATCCAAGGACCTAGAATACCTCCTTACTTACTACCCCTCAAGAAATCCCGAATACGTTCCTTGACCTTCCCGCATACCTCCTCCCCGGGTTACCAAATTGTTCCCCCTTGTATTCACCGACCCCATGAACTCTTCAGTCTCATTACCCACAATTTTTGCAAACCTTGTTATCTGCACACATCAATAAGATATTGATCGGTAAGCTCTCAACTCTTCCCCCCCTCTTCTTTCGGCACAAAAACGATGACACCCGTCACTTTGGATGTGCCACCAACTTCCATATGTTAACATATGATCCACACGCTGCCTAACTAAAGCACTGCCTAATACCACCCCCAATGTGCTCTATAACATATCATTTGGCCTTATACGTCTATCCCCTGGTGCTTTTCTTTTCGATTTTCCGGTACTCATCCCGAAAAACTGCCTCTTCCACCTCCTAACCTCACGTTATAACACCCTCCAACCCCTCTCATATCCTGCTCACTTAAAACGCTATGCGAACCCCCCTGTCAAAATACCACTCCCAGGATAAACCCCTCCTCCCTCCAAACTCCCATTTCTCCCTCAATCTACACTCACTATCAGCATAGAGACTCATACTTTCGTATTGGATAGGACTCGTCCCATACTGGTTCTCCTTCACACCCCACGGGCTTGGTCTCAAATTTAGAATGGTGGTTACTAACTCTGCTGGTCCTAAATCTTACGTAAAAACGAATACCACCAGTGGCTTTTCACCCACAACTACATCACTCTAAACCCCGCCCTAACCCTATTGCATCAAACACCTTCATTTGTGTATTCTCAGCCGTATCCCTGCTCCCGCAGACTTGTCCATGTCATCCCTCACTACCACTCCCCAACATTAACATTCTTTGCAACTGTCCCCTCATCGATAATTTTGCAAACAACAAAACGCCACCTCGCCTCCTTCCGTCCTAACCTAAAAAAACTTCGCTATTCCCGGGCTTGCCTGCATTCTACCACCAATCTAAACAGATCTATCCTCCCTGACTAAGCCCTCCAAAAACGGCAACCTCCACTTCCCACTGAAAAAAAATAGGCCCTCTCTCCCTCCTTAAGATAAGCCTTAACTTTTAATTTCCAAGTACCTGAATATAATACGCAACCACTCCTATCCCTACATCACAAATTGCTATTAACGCCCTGTGATCCGAACAACCCCCAATCGAGGTTTGCACCCATCAAAATCTATACCCTGACCTTAATATAAATTCTGTCCAATCGCGTGTCTATCCCCTACGGACGAACAGTGTGACTCCACTAGGTATCCCCTCAACCCCACCACATCACAACAAACCCCAATATCTCCGCCAATACCATCCCCTCAGCACACTCAGCACACAACCCGCCCTCTCGGTTCGACTATCACACTTCCTAATCACACAATTCAATCACCACTCCTTCTTACTGTTATAGCAGGCAAACCTCCCTCAAGTGCATACAGCAATACCTCTTCTGACAAAAATTCCTATTCGTTACCCTTGGTATATGCTAGTTGTCGGCATGTCTATACTCCTACAATAATCTAGTCGACTCTCACCCAGACCACTCATCCACCCTCACGGACAATCCTCCCACCCCCCCTCTTCACAGCCGCAGGCAAACGCAAGGG